CTTTAAAGTGTGTTGGAGAGCATATCTCTCTCACTGGACCCTGTAGTTCCTCCTCCCGACTACTACATCACTACAGGACAAAAGTAGGGATGTAACGGCAAGCCTCCCACTCTCCACTACACACACCAACATGCTAGTTATATTTTTATAGAACACCTTTCCATTTCCCTTGTACACCTTATTGTTGACCACGGGTGTCATGCTTGTAACTGCCTTTGGCATCTTGCAATGCCTCATGGGACTTGTAGTTTGGCAACAGCCAGAGGGCCACCAGTTTGACGCCCCTGTTTTAGACCCAGTGATATCAACATTAGGTCACTGTACTTTCTATGCAATGCAAGTTGATCATGGCTGGTGGGAGGGGTTGACAAGGTGCTAATTCCAGGAAGGTGTAATGAAAATACCAAAATGCCCTGCTGGATGGATGTGAATCTGGAGGAGTGGGCATTCCCAAGACTGCCCTAGGTAAGGCCCACATAAAATGTTGAGCCTCTATGACTGAAAGAGCTGAAATCCAATAAATGTAAGCAGTGCTGGGACAAGGTCATATAGAGCTCACAGCAAACATACCAGACTGCAACCCCCCCCCCCCCAAGATGTATCAAACATACCAGACTGCAACCCCCCCCCCAAGATGTATAAGCATTATGTGTTAGCACAAATCCCACCCCCGAAAAAAATTGAGCGCCAATCTGCATGCTTATTCCCCAAGAATAAATTCTCCCTCCTCCCGGTTCATATCCCCCCGCCAGCGCAAATCACTGCCCCCCCCCCCCCCCCCCAAGATCAAATCCTCTCTCTCCCCAATTGCCCCCAGCACAAATCACCCCTCCTAGCAGAAATCCTCTCCCCCGCACTTCAAATCCCCCCTCCCAACACAAATTCTCCCCCAATCCTTCCACCTAGCACAAATCCCCCCCCCCCCCCCCCCCAAAAAAAAAAAAAAATTACTAGCACAAATGTCCCTTAATCATCACTACTAGCAAAAATCCCCTCTTCTCTCCACAAAAATCCCCCCCTCCTAGCACAAATTCCCTCTACCTTATCACCTCTTCTAGCACAAACCCCCCAAATCCCCCCTCCTAGCACAAATCCTCTTCCCCCCTCCTCCCTTCTAGAACACTGATCCCTCCCTCCTAGAACAATTCTTAAACCCCTGCCACCCTACAAATTCCCACACCCAATACAAATCTCCCCCCCCGAAATCTCCTTGTGGTGCCCCCCCACCTCACATGATACCACAGTGGCCATGGCAGCCGACCCTCTTGCCCACCCCTTGTCCTGGCCCTGAATAAAAGGATGGACATCCATTCAACCGGAAAATAAGGCTGACTCTGTGAGACTTACTGAAGCTTCTAATGCACATTGTGAGCAGATCACAGTGTGCAGTGAAATTAGAGTAAGCAATTTCATTGTATGAGAGCAGCCTGTACAACTGTGCAAGAACGAAGGAAAAGCCGAAGGTGAGTGTAATGCAGTTAGAAGTGTACACAGGTGAAAGATGTTTAACCAAACTGTGCATTTTCTGGCAAACCAACAGCTCCCAATTTTGCTTTTTTCCTTGTCGGGAGTGAAATTGAGAGTTTTCACTTGGGGCATTTTTGGTTAAATGCATTTGAGTTCACTGGAGGATAACTTTGACAAAATTTTGGTAAAGATGAAATTGTTGATTTTATGGCAAATTCTATTTCACTGTGAAATGACCCATTGTGCCTTTGTGGAATGTAGTCTGCGTTTGAATCCAATGCACATGGCTGCAATATCAGCCAAATGAAGGCTCAGCTTTCCTCATTCAGGATGAAAAAAATTCACAAAAGTACTGCATCAAATATCCATTATATACAATAATTTTTATTATATACAGTATTATTATATTTTATACATTATATATATTAGGCACAGCAGCACCATTATTTGCAAGGGTTAAAGAATAATTTTTTGCTTGTAGGGAAGGCACCAATAGCTTCATTTTCCATTGGCTGTAGATGGTTTTTTAAGCCAACATCTATTCTTTCTCCTTGGACATGTTGGCAAATGACCTCAGCCACAGACAGGCCGCTGACCGCTGCTCCTTCAATGCATGGACTTACTAGCCAGTCTCCACATATGCCCACATTATGACTTGCCTGGAAGACACAGCCCTCACCCTGTAGCACATTGAGGGGGTTAGCTGCACCCCACAGCTGCACTTTGGTAAAGCAGGGAGTCAGCATTTTTAGATCAACGCCAGTCACTTCTGCAAATCCGTTCAGAAGTAAACGAGTGACCTCTTTTTCTTTGGAAGGTGGTATAAATTCTTGAGGAACTTTATGGTTGGGTCCCAAAACCTTCGTACTAATGACAGTCCAACATTCCATCTGATTTTCAGAGTACTTAGATGTGTTATTTCCAATCCATGATACGTCGGGATGTTCCACAAATGCTCCATCATAACTCAATGCAACCTTTTGTGTTAAAGCAAACAACAAAACCCAGAGGGAGCAAAGCTGCATGACGTGAGTCTGCGGTGATAGAACAGGTCCAAACTTAACTTTGAGAAGGTTGTGGATTTGTGGCGCCCCTGAGTTTTCCATAAGCCTTGAAGCACATTTTCCGTTATGGGCCACCACAAGATAATCAAACCATTTGTCATCAACCTGCCACTTTTTAATAAGTGGATCCCAGTGGACACTGCTGACCCACTTGTGTCCCTCAACGTGAACAAGACTTGACAGACATTCAGGAACAGCCTGCATTCCCCTTGTTCCAATAAATACCTGCATGTTCTTGATTTCTTCTGGCTGTTTTCCTATTTTGAGATGAACAATTTTGCCAGGCCATAATTTCACGGTCTTCTTGTTGTGCAAAAAAGGACACAATTTTGGCAAACCTCTGGTCACTCACAGTGAAGAACTGGACAGCGTGGTCAAATATGTGAAGTTTTCCATTAATGTTGATGTATCGGCTGCATCTGCCCCCGGGGCCATGTTTTCCAGTGTCAAAAACCACTGAGTTAGTGATTCCCAACTGTGCCAGTCTAGATGCACAGACCAAGCCTGAAATGCCTCCACCAACAATGGCCACCGAAATCTCTTTTCCATTCATTTGATTGTAGAGGGCACCTGTAGAATGTAAAAAAAACAGTAATCTACAGTTTTTTATCAAATAATTTTAGGTATTACCACAAATATAGCATTACATTTTCTACATAGGGTATAATTCATTATGGATAACATTTTTTCTTGCTAGAAGACCTAAACCCAGATATCATATTGATGGGCGAAAGCATAGAAATCTTGCAACAGGACTTTTCATCAGCAGCCTGTGCCAAAACAAGGGAACAAAACCAGAAGTTAAAATGGACCTAAAGTCAGAATCCAACTTTGGTTAACCTCATCCCTTCCTGTCGACATTCAATAAAGAAATAAAGAGGTAGCACCACCCCCTTGAGGGCGCTGAGTAATTTTCAGGCTCTCTGTCTTTCCTTGGAAGCTGAAGCCCTGCTGACACCACCTTGGACCTTTTGACCAGGATAACCCTCTGGCTGCAACCATATAATAGATTCACACAGTTTAATAGTGAACTGATATTTTGGTTAAATTGAGGTCAAATGCAAGCACAGTGAAATGAAAGTATGTGTATGAAATAACAGCTGATACTCTTAATATTCAAATAAGGGTTGTAGCACAGCACAACTCAAATCAGTTCTATATGTCCTGCAATTCAGAATGTAAACCCCAGCTCTGAAATGTTTAATCCCAAACGAGCATAAGGAAAAAACAATTGAATTGGCAGGCTAACTCAGGTCAGGCTCTCAGGTACTGGTGGCTGGGTTTAATTCTGAGAAAAGAAAGAGCTCTTTAATTAGATAGGTCAATGTCCCTTTAAACTTCAGAGCCCAGTCTTCTGCGCGCTTGATGGGGTCCTAGTTGGTGCACAGGATTTAAATCTTTCTTAATGGAAAAGATAATAGTTTTTCAAGAGAGGGTGAACACAAAGAAAATGGAACTGCTCCCTTAAGTGATCTTGAGTTTGAATGGTATCTCTTTAGCACACACAGAGTGAAAGCTAGAATTAGACTGAAATTAGGAAAGGGGCAGAAACACACTTCTGTAGAGGTTAGTTCCTCCTTAAAAAAGGTCGCCAACTACAGGGATAAAGAAGTTCCTTGTTGAATGGCACAGGCTGGAACTGAAACACTAATACAACTTGACCCGCACAGTGCAGATATTGCAGCAGGATTTTGTGATTTGAAGTGTCGAACGTGTATTAATTGGTAGGCTGCAAGGCAGGATAGGCCGGACATTCCAGGCCTTAGCACATGTAACTTGTGCAACTAAAGATGTAAAACTGAGAAGAAAGTAACTGAACTTAGCAATGTAATTTGCAACTTAGGTGACTTGGGTATAGAGCTCTCACCCGATCCATAGCCTTGGTCAGGTAGTGGATGGTCTCTCTGCAGATGGGGGGCCACCGTGTTTTCTTGATTCTTCTGTCAAAGATCATTCAAGATGACAGCACTCCAGTCCACCTGCTCACGGGATTGTCTGTCCGTCTTATCAGGGGTGTCGGTGGGTCAGGCAATTCCTCCTCATTCCTTCACTCTCTGAGGCCTGGCCCAGCCCCGGACCTCCGGCGTCCCTCACAGCTTTGCCCTCACTCCTGCTCCTCCAGCTCTCACTGTCCACTTCCCGTGCCTGGGTTCCCAGGCTTCTGTATTTATCTGCCAACTCCTCTGGGAAATGTAGTCTGTCAGCTCAACATCAAACAGTGAAGTCCTGCTATCATCCTACAAGTCCAACAAAGCGTCTGTATAACTGAGCTGCAGAACACTGCTATCTTTTGTCCATTTAAAAGTGTTGCTAAACCCAGGACCCTGCTATATCTGGCCCCCCCCGGACCCTGCATTCACTATATCTGGACCCCCCCTGACCCTGCATTCACTATATCTGGCCCCCCCGGACCCTGCATTCACTATATCTGGCCCCCCGGACCCTGCATTAAAACTATATCTGGTCTCCCCGGACCCTGCATTCACTATATCCGGTCTCCCCGGACCCTGCATTCACTATATCCGGTCTCCCCCGGACCCTGCATTCACTATATCCGGTCTCCCCGACCCTGCATTCACTATATCCGGTCTCACCGGACCCTGCATTCACTATATCCGCTCTCCCCGGACCCTGCATTCACTATATCCGCTCTCCCCGGACCCTGCATTCACTATATCCGCTCTCCCCGGACCCTGCATTCACTATATCCGGTCTCCCAGGACCCTGCATTCACTATATCCGGTCTCCCAGGACCCTGCATTCACTATATCCGGTCTCCCAGGACCCTGCATTCACTATATCCGGTCTCCCAGGACCCTGCATTCACTATATCCGGTCTCCCAGGACCCTGCATTCACTATATCTGGCCCCCCGGACCCTGCATTCACTATATCTGGACCCCCGGACCCTGCATTCACTATATCTGGACCCCTGGACCCTGCATTCACTATATCTGGTCCCCCCAGAACCCTGAATTCGCTATATCTGGTCTCCCTGGACCCTGCATTCACTATATCTGGTCTCACCGGACCTTGCATTCACTATATCCAGTCTCCCCAGACCCTGCATTCACTATATCTGGTCCCCCACAGTACACACAACATGGAAGTGCAATTATTTTAATAAATATAAACTGCTAAATACCTTATCTCAAACAGGAGTTAGAGCCGTCTTGTGACTTCTATCAGTGTCCAGCATAGCACATGTTAAAGCTAATTAGAGGAGTTTTCATTTTGCTCTAGGAAGATGCAGAACCCCTGACTTCTATCTAGACCAGCAATGGGCAAACTACGGCCCGGCGGACCTTTTAATCCGGCCCGCGGAGCTAGGCTCCTCTCACAGTCCGCCCTGAAGACCGGTGTAGCATGAAAATCTGTCTCCTATGAGGATCTGTCCCCCTCGACGTATCTGCGCATGTGCCGGAGATCGCCGATCAGCTGCTAATGCCTGAAACTGGCACATGCGCAGATATGTCGAGGGGGACAGATCCTCATAGGAGACAGATTTTCATGCTACACCGGAACGGCGTGGGACACGGCGAGAGGAAAGGTAAGTGAATTGACACAGGGGGGACTTGGGGACTTAATATGGGGAATGAATTACTATGGGGGATGAATTACTATATGGGGGGATGAATTACTATGGGGGATGAATTACTATGGGGGGATGAATTACTATAGGGGGGATGAATTACTATAGGGGGGATGAATTACTATACGGGGGATGAATTACTATATGGGGAATGAATTACTATGGGGGATGAATTACTATGGGGGATGAATTACTATAGGGGGGATGAATTACTATAGGGGGGATGAATTACTATATGGGGGGGTGAATTACTATGGGGGATGAATTACTATATGGGGGATGAATTACTATATGGGGGATGAATTACTATATGGGGGATGAATTACTATGGGGGATGAATTACTATGGGGGATGAATTACTATATGGGGGATGAATTACTATATGGGGATGAATTACTATATGGGGGATGAATTACTATAGGGGGGATGAATTACTATTTGGGGGATGAATTACTATATGGGGGATGAATTACTATATGGGGGATGAATTACTATATGGGGGGATGAATTACTATAGGGGGGATGAATTACTATGGGGGATGAATTACTATGGGGGATGAATTACTATGGGGGATGAATTACTATAGGGTGGATGAATTACTATGGGGGATGAATTACTATATGGGGGATGAATTACTATATGGGGGATGAATTACTATGGGGGATGAATTACTATATGGGGGATGAATTACTATATGGGGGATGAATTACTATGGGGGATGAATTACTATAGGGGGGATGAATTACTATAGGGGGGATGAATTACTATAGGGGATGAATTACTATATGGGGGATGAATTACTATATGGGGGATGAATTACTATATGGGGGATGAATTACTATGGGGGATGAATTACTATATGGGAGGTGAATTACTATATGGGGGATGAATTACTATGGGGGATGAATTACTATATGGGAGGTGAATTACTATATGGGGATGAATTACTATATGGGGGATGAATTACTATATGGGGGATGAATTACTATATGGGGGATGAATTACTATGGGGGATGAATTACTATGCTTACTATGGATGACACATACACATCATTCATCTACTCTTGGTCTGGCCCCCGGGTCCAATATATGAACCCATTGCGGCCCTCAAGTCAAAAAGTTTGCCCACCCCTGATCTAGACAGTGCTCATTGGCCCTGTGCTGATCACATGCACTCCCCCAAGAAAAGAAACCCTCTCTGGCAATACACACCAAGCTGAGCATGTGCAGAGTGACTCCACACAATATTTCTTATCAGGAGATAGGAGGGGGACACTGGAAGGAGAGGATCAGAGAAGACAGGATCCAACAGCCTTTTTACACAATGCAGTGGGTTAACCCCCTTTGCTTTCACAGTGAGTATAACAAGCATGCTTTACTGCATATACAGACTGATTGTACTGTTGTGGGTGTAGTAACACTTTAACATCCTGCAGTCAGTATTTCTGCAGGGAGTTCAAAGAGAATTAAAAAAAAACAACATGTGACTCAACACGCCCACTGATTCCCAGAAACATCCAGCCTATAGAACTGGCTAAGAAGCAAAGGCACGGTTTGGTTGTTCAACAGAAGCATTGTAAATAATTAATGCTGCCTCTTGCATAGAATTAGGATAGGAAATCAATGGACCTGTCCATTTCAGAAAGAGACCAATATAGAACCCAGATAGGTATTTGGATGGGTTTTTTTTAGCTTTTACTCAATATAGACAACATGTGACTAAGATCGTTGGTTCGATTCCCAACCACGGCACCACCTGCCTGGAGTTTTCATGTTCTCCCTGTGCCTGCGTGGGTTTCCTCCGGATACTTCAGTTTCCTCCTACACTCCAAAGACATGCTTGTAGGCAGCGGCGGACTGACAACTCATGGGGCCCCCCGGCAATAGGGGATCATGGGGCCCCTGTGTCCTTGCCCAAACTCAAAAAAGCCTATGAATAAGGTACCAGGGGCATCTCATGGGGGAGTTGGCTCTGAGGAAGAGGCAAGTCCTCGAAACGCGTCAGCCTTTTGGATGTCTAAACTCCCTATTGCGGACTGTTACTCAGCACGGTGTTGATCCAGCTGTTCTTTTATGATGTGCCTTGACTATATTGTCGTTTGTGAGTACAACACCTACTTTATTTTTTATTAAACATTTTTTATGGTAATGCACTAGGCCTGTGCGCCCTCTTTTTGTTCTTTCCCCATTCAGTATATTTTGGATTCCCCCGGTCCATTTGAGGGCAGCAAGGTGTGCATGTTCGACAACCCGGACACAGCCCGTCTCCTCCACCTAACCTCCTCCTTTGCACTTGCACAGTGCATACAATCCACCACCCACTCCGACGGAAATATCCTGGACCTTGTCTTCTCCAACCACTGCGCTCCCCACAACCTCACTAACACCCCCTTCCCTCTCTCTGACCACAACCTGATCACCTTCTCTATCTCCTCGTCCTCCAATGCCTACCCCTCCAAATGTCACACTACTACCAGCCGTAACCTCCGCAACCTTAACCCTGCCCCCCTCCACTCTGCAGCTGATCAACTCCACGACCGCATCCTCCCCCTGTCCTGCCCCGACTTGGCTTTGACCGCCTACAACAATGCGCTCTCAACAGCCCTTGACTCACTAGCGCCTTTAACCACACGCAACATCAGACCCTGACCGCTCCAGCCCTGGCAGACTGATCACACCAAAAACCCTCAAACGACACAGTCGTGCCCTGGAGCGACTATGGCGCAAAACCAAATCCCAACAAGCCTTCACCCGCTACAAATCTGCCTTCCACACCTACACCTCCTCCCTCCATGCTGCCAAACAGGCCTACTTCTTGACCCTCATCAAGGCCCTCTCCTCCAATCCTCGCCGACTCTTCTCTGCCTTCAACTCTCTACTCTCTCCACCCCCACCTCCACCCAGCACCTCACTCACTGCCCTTGAGATTGCCAATCACTTCAAAAACAAAATTGACACAAATTCGCAAGGACATTGCCGCAACTCACACGCCCTCTCAACCCGTCCCCTCTCACACAGTTACCCCCTTATCCCCCCTCCCCCTCGACATAACCCGCAGGGACTTCGTCGCTGCTCAAACTCTCTCCAACCCCCTTCACCCTCACTCAGCTACCCCCTCATCACCCCTCTCCCACGGCCCCACCACTGCTCTGACCTCCTCTTCCACCCCACCCTACATTCCTCATACTGAAGCTCCCCCAACACTCCACACCTTTGACCTTACTACCATCGAGGAAGTCTCCAAGATCCTCTCTGATGCCCGCCTCACCACCTGCCCCCTCGACCCTATCCCCTTACAACTCCTACAACCTCCCTCCCCCTCCATCCTACGCTCCCTCACCCACATCTTCAATCTCTCCCTCTCCTCAGGCACTTTCCCCTCCCCTCTGAAACATGCACACATCACCCCCATACTTAAAAAGCCCTCCCTGGACCCCAATGACCCGAACAACCTCAGACCCATCTCCCTGCTCCCATTTACATCTAAACTCCTCGAGCGCCTAGTCTACACCCGCCTATGCTCTCACCTCAACGACAACAACCTCCTCGATCCCCTACAGTCCGGCTTCCGTCCCCTACACTCCACCGAAACCGCCTTACTCAAACTCTCCAACGACCTGCTAACCGCCAAAGCTAATGGCCACTATTCTGTGCTCCTACTCCTTGACCTCTCTGCGGCCTTCGACACAGTCGACCACCCCCTTCTCCTCAAAAAACTACACTCCCTCGGCCTCAGAGATTCTGCTCTCTCCTGGCTCTCATCCTACCTGTCACAACGCTCCTTCAGCGTTACCTATAATGCTACCACCTCCCCCTCACTCCCCCTCTGTTGGGGTCCCTCAAGGCTCTGTCCTCGGGCCCCTTCTCTTCTCCATCTATACCTCCTCCCTTGGCCAACTCATACACTCTCACGGCTTCAACTACCACCTCTATGCCGACGACACACAAATCTATCTCTCAACCCCCCACCTCACCCCCTTGGTCTCAGCCCGAATCACACACCTACTGAGCGACATATCAGACTGGATGTCGCTCCACTTCCTTAAATTGAACCTCTCCAAAACCGAGTTTCTTGTCTTCCCCCCAGCCCGGACACCACCCCCCATTGATTTCTCCATCACATCCAACAACGCTACCATCAAACCCGCCCTGCAGGCCAGAGTACTGGGTGTCATTCTGGACTCCAACCTATCCTTCCAGCCCCAAGTCCAATCTTTAACAAACTCGTGCAGACTCCACCTCCGCAACATCGCCAAAATCCGCACGTTCCTAACCCCAGAAACCACTAAACAGCTCATCCACTCCCTCATCATATCACGACTCGACTACTCCAACTCCCTCCTCACTGGCCTGCCTCGCCGCTGGCTATCCCCTCTTCAGTCCATCCTGAACACGGCTGCCAGACTCATTCACCTTTCCAACCGCACTGTCTCCGCCACCCCCCTCTGCCAATCCCTCCACTGGCTTCCGATTGCACAACGGATCAAATTCAAAATCCTAACGCTGACGTACAAAGCTGTCCACCATACTGCCCCGAACTACATCACT